GAAAACAAAATTTTATCGTCTAAATGTTTGTTATTATTAAGAGGAAAGGTCAAAGTATTTTTGGAGTATTTTTTCCATTTTTTAATCGTTCCTAGCACGTCCGAAATTTTCGTTAAAAATCTAGTTTTTTTGAGTCAGCAAAATTGACCATTTTTTTCCATTTTAAAAAAAAACTGAAATCTGACTTTGAAATTTTTTTTTTAAATATATATTATCATTTTTTCAAAACTTATTTTAAGAAAATCAGAAATTATAATGTTTATTTAAAATATTTTGAACCAAACTTAACTTAGCTTTTGTGCCAAAAAGATGTAATTTGAAAATAAAACAAAGCAGGTCATAAACTTTCACGTCTCTTGACATGTGATGAATGATATATTTACGAATTCCATGAGGCTAATTTGTTCTACGGAAGGAGAAAAGTGAAATAATTTACATTTACGTGAACAAATTATTTACCCCGTTATTTTTACCGAAAACTTTCAGCGGTCTAATTTTTTTTTTTTTTTTGTACTTAGCTTTCACCTTTACGTTTATGATGCTTTATGGGAAATATATTGTAAAGAAATTAAAATAAAACTGTTAAGAGTGACATTAAATTTCATATTTCTTAAAAAAGGTATCTAATTAATTTATAGGTACCTTTCTTATGAAATTTTATCAGAATTGTACATAAAATACTATAATTTTATGTACATTTGTTACATTCTACTGTTATTTGTATTTGCATTCATTTTATTATTAATTTTGATATTTCATTTATGGAAAAATGTCGTAACTGAGATTAATATAAAAATAAGATGATATAAATTTCTGTTGTGGTACGATACACCTAATTTACATAAGTGGAGTACCGACCATATAAATATGGGTTGGTACCGGAAGACGGGAATGAGCAAGGAACAAGAGATCCAATCGAGAGACTCTGTCCGACTGCTATTTAGTCAACCCATTCTGCAGGAACAGTCTTCCCGAGAATATACCAAACTAACTGTAAATATTGTGTACCTTTTTCCTTGTTTCAATACATTTTGTTTACGTACATTTTGTGTTGTATTATTATTATTCCATGCTTATCCAAGCTTCAACAATTTCATAAGATGATACTGATACTTGTAGGTACCCTTCTCAGTTGAAATTGAAAAATCAAATTAACTTCTCCACACGTGTTTCGCAAAAGTAAAGGCAACAGCGGAGAACAATGCTTAACTCAAATAACGCAACTTAATTATATTCTGGTTGGTCTTCTCTATTTTATAATTACAGCTCGATTATAAGCACAAAATTACATTTCTTAATTACTGGGGATCTTTTGATTAGTCAAAATGATACAATTTACAACGCGCTAAAAAAAGATCTATCTCATAAAGACACTTATGAAAGCCGATGCGGCTTTTAACTAATTTTATAATATTTTAACAACTTAAATGTAAAATCTATTATAATTAATGAAATAACAAATAATTGTATTAAAAATTCATTTTCATCGAAAAAATTTTTTGCTTTCAGAAAATATTGTCCATATTCATAAAAAACAACTAAAAGCAAATAAAAGCATTTGAAATTAAATAATATCTTTGTTTTATTGAGTTTTGTATGTTACAATTCAGAGCTGATTTTCAGGTACTGCGTATCCAATTAAAAACAAAAAAAAACATGATTTGCATTCCTCAAAGCCCTGTGCTTTTAATTATTGTAATCCCTAAAACCGATGTGATCGAATTTCTAGCGTTTTCATAAAATTAGTTACGGGGTTGGTGGGGGGGGTAATAAATATTTTAAAAAAATATTTCTACCATGACTTTCATAAAAAAAACATATTTATAATAATTTCGATCATCTGTGAATAGTTCCTGAAAGTTTCATTAACATCCGATAATTATTTCTATTTTTGCACGATTTTTCAAATTAATGTGTGTCATACCAAAACAACGTGCTAAAAATTGTCTATGTTATTTACTAGTTCCGCTGATACAAATAGAAAAAAGGGTTTTTTTTAATCAAAATTTAGAATGTTCTAAAAAGAAGGAAAATTTTTTAAAAATATTTAAAAAAAAAAACTTTGGTCTTTCCTCTTAATAATAACATAAGCATTTAGACAATAAAATTTAGTTTTCGGCAAGGTTGGCGTCTTTTTCATCAAGCTATGCTCTTTTTTTAGCGATTTCGTGGAGGTACCTAAGTAAAGATTTAAATTTTTTCCACTTGTGACGAATGTAGCTATCGATTTTTTTGCATGCTAGTTAACACTAATGTCAGTCAGATGTTGTGTCGCACGCTTACCAATAGAATCTTCCTGCCTATTCGTGGCAGCCAGCTATTGGCTCTCACTCTGGCCAGTATAAACTACATGAAAACTGCCGTAGAAGCATGAAAAAACCTATTATTTCCACTATCGATGGGAGTTAGGAAATGCAAAGTTGGTCTTGTCCTTTCCGCTAACTTGGAGCATGTGCATGTAAATTTGGGTGCAAATCCGTCGAAAATTGCGGCCGTGCATTCGTTACACACACACACATCCTGCCTTTTATAGGTAGAGATTATTAATATCAGACAGGTTTAGCGTGGCACTCTTTTTCGAAAATAATTCAGAGCAAAGGATTTGAGAAAACGAAAACAAAATTAACTCAACACAACTTTTGACTGTTTTTACCAGTTTCTGACAAAAAATGCCCGAGACAATTTTTTTTTTAAGTCTAAGTTACAAAATACTGTAATAATATCAACCTGCAAATAACGCAGCGAACCATCCACATTCCCTTCGTATTCCATTGGTGAGAATTAGGTTTTACTCAAGCAGTTTCTTCCCACAAAATACTGCTTTGTAAAACAGACTCCCAAGAGGATGCTTCTACAAATATTAGAATCTTAACCTGTTCAAGCCTACGGTTAACCGTTATCTTCCGCATAAACTATGCCTCTTACTGTACAATCCTCTACCTCGAGTGGCTACCTAGCCTTGTACAGGGTAATCATCATTAAAAAAAAAAAAATCTCCGTCCCTTTCAAATGTTAAATTCATCCTTACGCGTTTTTGCTAATTAATGCCTTGTCACTAAATATTAATTTCCAGTATAAATTTATTTGTATATATCTGAAAATAAAGATCTAAGCCTCTTTTCCTATGTTTTGGGGCTGATGTATGCATTTTGACACTAAATCGCCCATAACTTGGTTAAATTGAAAATTTAAGTTATTTTTCGGGATTTTAGCTTTTCACTGTAGTTATCTAGACCTAAGTCCCTATATTTTATTTAGAACTGTGAAACTACTGTTTTAATATTCTTTTTAATTACGAATAACATTAACAAAATTCTATAATTGTATTGAAAATCATTCAGGAAGATGAGAAAACCATTGGTGTCCGCTTAGATCTGTTGTGCAAGTCAAACAAATACGCTCTATATCAATCTGCTTGGAACTTCAAAAACATATACCAGTGCCACTTAATTGCTTTCGAAACACACTGCAATATTCCCTTTCACAGTCGCAAACTGCTTCCTCTTTACATTCCTTTTAATCTCTTCTAAGTTTTAAAAAAAAGCTTCCAGTCAACAGCAAGGTAGATGTCGGTATTGCAAAAAAATAAACAGTACTAGACTTGAAAATCTACTCTTTAGTTCATTATGAACGGAACGTTACACGGTACACAATGACACCCAATGGATTCTGACTGCTGTATGAATTATCCAATAGGAGACTCCCTATTCACGCATGCTCAGTATGTTCCCTTTTAATTGATTGTCACGGGTTCTCGAGATATGCAAAATGGTTGAATATCTTGAGGATAGCTTTCTTATCTTTCAGTTATTATGAATAAACCTATTAGACTGCGTTATCGAGTAGGATTTTTATCTGCAAAGTAAGAACTAGTTTGAGTTTATCAAAATACTAAATCTGGATGCCTGCCAGATAAAGTCATATCAGTTGGAATATTTCTCGTTGGATGCATACATTCATTTTCAGAATCTCTCATCGGTTTTCTGGTATTTTTTCCTGCGATCTTTCGTGTTTCTTTAGCTTCCCTACTCAAGATAATTGTAAACTGTTCAGGTCTAGGGTTAACCGTTATCTTCCCCACATATCATCATAAAATGTACATCTTAACTCTTTTATTCTGTAACCTTTTCCCTGAATGGCTCTTGGTCCTCGTACTAAGTGAACATTTTTGTAAAGAAAAAGCTACAAAATGGCTCAGATATTTTACATGCAAAAATCTATAAAAAAAACAAACCTCATTATCCCGTAAGCCTAGTGGTTCAAAGCGTTGGTTCATGAATTGGTGACATAGGGTAGTGAGTTCAGTTGCTGTGTCAGGTTGTGTGTACTTGGACTCAAAGGAAACGGGTGAGCAATAACTGAGCAATGCTATAAATAAGAATTAGATGATATTTCAAGACATGGACAGTGGTACGAAAACACTGTATTCCATTTGATTAAATAAAGTGTTCAATTCAGAATTCCTTGTACGTTAGCTAGATCGATATACACATGAGGAAGGCCGGAGCACACAACGACCGAAAAGTGAGCAAAATAGTGCAAATATAAATAGCGTAAATGATATCTCATCCAAGAAATTCTGACAAAAATATAAATATATCTAAAACAAAGAAGACTTATAGAATGGTTGTTTTTGTTTAGGGGCATATCAACAATTATGGGTTATTACATGATAAAATGTAAATATTTTATACCCAATTTTATTCATTTATTTATTTACTTGACTAATAGTAATGGTTTCCAATGATACAAATCTTACTAATTAACCCATAGATGCGGGAGAAGATGTGGATTCATGGCTTTCCCAACGGTATTTGCGTGAAAGTGAATCCAACTGAAATTGGAACTCGGCTCTCCAATTAAGAATTTCGAGCCATTATCCATTACACTATCCACGCTTACAACACCTGGTATTCCCAAGCGATCGTCCATCTAGATACTGACAAAGCACGACGGAGTTTCAACGTGATGTGGCATTTATAACACTCAGCAATCCAAGCTTATAGCACCTGGTATTCCTAAACGGTCACCCATCTAGGTGCTGACCAGGTTGGAAGTTTGCTTAACTTCGGTGATCGTGCGGGAACCGATGTTTCCACGTGATGTAGCCGTAAGGTGACGCAAAAGGAAAATGACGTCATATAACGTCATCTGTCTAAGATCCTGGCGTGTATGACTAATATGCAAATGAGGAGAAAATTCATGCAGAATTCTCTGTTGCCATTACATTTTGTTTACAATAATTCATTGTGTGTTGTTGATATTTACTCCAGGCTGCTAGGAATATTTGATCGACGATCGTGAAGAAAAACAAAGGAAAAAACGTTAACAAAAAAAATATATACGCCGGAAAAAGTCGATTCCATTTCGAATCTTGGAATAGAGTTAGCCATTGAAAAACATAGCAGAATATTCTGCGCATGCGCATCTAAGAGCAATGGCCGTTCATGAATAGAACGTTTTTTTATTTTTATTTCTTCTTGATAACTGTGATAATGAACCCATTGTCAGCCTACCATAGTATGCCGGTATTAGTAGTAATAACATAGCATTAGTTGACTTTAGTCTCAATGGAATCACTGCAAGGAAAAATTATGACAGTAACAGTACTTGGTGCTGTTGTGTTAGTGTAAGCGTTCTCTTCCAATCGCTCGAAGCAGACCACGACATGTGCATTGAACGAGTGTATTTAATGAGAATAACGAAGTCTGATCGTGAGATTGTTATCACATACCTTTTCTGTTTTTGATTTCTCTTAGTTTTTTTTATTTGTAGATGTCTGATTCAGTAAGGTGGGAATCGAGTGGAAAGTAGCAAGAAAAGTTTTGAATAAAAGAAAAGAAATAAAAATGAAAGGAGACTAATCCGACATGTCAAAAATTTGTGAGTCATTTTTCTATATTCTGCATCAGTGATGACGATTATAGTCGAAGAGTAACGACTCGTAAATAAATAAGCATCGATGCTGCCATTTTTTTTCTTTTTCTCTTTGCAGTAGGAAAAGTCGTATGTGTTTTAAACTATTTTTCGGCTTATTATTTTTCATTTTGACGACGTTTTTATTTTCTTTCATGAATTGCTTTTGCGATTGCTCGTTCTATTTCTATTCTCTTTCCTGAATTATTATTATTATTATTATTATTATTCATTAATTTATCTTCCCTTTCATATGCAGTATTCTCTTCGCCACCATATTCTATTTCCATTAACTTTACTTTCGCCTGTTGTATTCTGCGTCTATCTGTATCTTCAATTTCTATCGTATTTATTCCCAGGGTTTCCGTTGACAATCAAGAGTTTTTTGTTTTTTTTTAAAACCGATTCACTTTTTAGGTATTTATTTTATTTGTTAAGCGAAGCTTCGTTTGGTACCATGCCAAAAGCCTCTGAAGAGTCTTGGATATATGTTAGTGGTCACTCACCTCTGTTGGTCCGATGCTTTTTAACTTTGATTATCAGGCATGAACCCATATTTTCAGCATAATTTGATCATAATGCTAGACAGAAGAAGTAGAAGCTGGTAAAGAAGAAGAACGAAAATAGAAGAAGAAGAAGAAGAAGAAAATATAAGAAGAAGACCAGTTATCCTCTCTCAGTGCTTTAAGAAAGAGTAACTAGCATTAATCTGATACAAGGTTACACATAGGAAATGTAAAGAGAAATCTCTACTCAGTCTTACGGATCTACGAGAGTTAATTGCTAATTTTTAGCCCATGACGAGCCTCTCAAGAGAGTGCCGATGTGTAGATTGGTAAAAAGCCACGAACAAGAAACACTATCTAACTTATTAGTAAGAATTAGATAAAAGGTTAATTTTATAGTCATTTATTATGCAGAAATCATAGTTATGTACTAATCTTTTGTTGATCCATCCTTTCACCCCAAACAAGGCAAGAATGCCACTAAGACGCAAGGGTTTACTGAGTGTGAAAGAATATAAGAAAAAGAAAAACATTTAGGAGAGAGAACAAAAAAGAAAAGGAAGATAGTAGATAATGACATTTTGTTTAAATTTGTCAAGATCAAAACTGACTGGAAAACACAAAACAAAAAGAGAGTTTGAAAAGCTACAAGTGCAAGAGAAGAAACTGTTACCATAGGAATTATACTTGCATATATCTATTTCAACTATAAAAATATGAGACGTAACTGTCAACTTGCTACTGCTTTTGATTTCATAAAGTCGAGGAGGTACCAAAAAGATAAGCTTATCTGATGAATTACAATGAAAATCATTATTTTCGGCACAAGGACTCAATTACATAGCCCTAATAAGGATCGAACACTGCATAGCCAGACTAGTTCCCTAAACATTAGCCCATTATGAAACAAACCACAGTGTTAAGAGTTATGTTCAGGGTGAACCGGCAGAAATCTTAACTGATAGAAAGACACTGTAATAGGAAATGTGATCTTCATGCTGAGAATGCTATCAAGCAAGTAATACTGATCTACAAAGATATATACGTATTTTTAAGCACTACACAAAAGCATTGGACAAAAGCTATGATAACAAAATAATTATTTGAACTGCGTGGAAACCAGCGGGAAATATTTTAGAGTAATCAATTTTTGGTCGGAATAAACCGATTGCATACGGATTGAAAATTTTTGAATGTGGGGACATTTTATAAATGTATTGAAATTGTATTGAAAATGTATTGACAAATGTATTGAAAATGTATTGAAAATGTATTGACAAATGTATTGAAAATGTATTGACAAATGTATTGACAAATGTATTGAAAATACATTGAAAAAATTTGAAAATGATTTGAAAAAAACTTAAAATCTATTGAAAATGTATTGAAAAATATATTGAAAAATTCATTGAAAAAATTTGAAAATCTATTGAGCATGTGCACAAAAATTTGATAATGGATTGAAAAACGTAATCAAAAAATTGAAAATGTATTGAAAAATGTACTGAAAAATTGTATAGAAAATGTAGTGAAAAAATATGAGAATATATTGATTATGTGTACAAAAATAGAAATAGAAAAGAATACTTCTTCTTTATCGAGTTTGTTCAACTTGTAAAGTGTCACGATTCTAAGAAGCTTTATAATGTATGATTATAAAAAAAAGTGTTCTTCAGTAACACAAATTGCTAGAAGTATTAGTTCTGTCTATAGAAATAAAGCTTTCCATGTCGGAACATGTCAGCAATTGCTTTGTCTCTTTTGATCGCCGATTTTTTTTTTTCTGTTGAAGATACCCTTCGATCTGGACGATGAATTTTCTGTCCATACTAATCCTCTCAAGACTGTAATTGAGGAAAATCCTAAGCAAACCGCACGATAAATAAAAAAAAATCAAGACAAGTTACGCTTCTATTATAAAACAATTTCATGAAAAAGTATCAATAAATGTTTTTCAGCACTAAAGCAGAATGAATCAAATAAAACTTCATAAGCTTCTACTTGGAGTTGTTACTATATTACAAATATTATGGACTAAACACGTGGACAACAAAAAGGTCACGTATAACTAAAATTATGAAGAGACAGTTGAAATAACTGGGAAGACGGGGCGGGCAACACTGAAATCCGAAGGTGCATTCAGGTAACCAAAAATGCATTCTAAAATTTATGAAGAGTATTAAGAAACAGACAAAAGATCGTTAAAATCAAAGAAAAGAGCACTGAACGTTTACGTAATATAAATCTTCCTACATAGTAGTGAATGCTGGACATTTTCCCCACAGACTAGAACCAACAGAAATGTGGTTCTACAGAAGGACACTGAGAATTTTGTGGTAATAAAATAAACACATCCGATCTCCTCTCTCGCTTGTAAACATCCATCACAATAAACGTTTCTCAGCGCTAAAGCTGAATTAGTCGAATAAAGCTTCATATACTTCTACTAAGATTACTTACCATATTACAATTTATTTTACTAATTCCCTTTCGCAATTACGGAACTCTCCCCAGACAAACTACGGATCCAAATTCTCTGGACGCTGAAGGAGAAATACCTGGAATCCTCGCTTCCGATACATCAAGTGATGATTCCACTGAAAGCACACCCAGGTCCCCTCACGAGAATTACCTCAATCCTTCAAGTCAAGGATCCTTATGGTACGACCCTAGTTCTGACGAATGGTCAGTAGATCAGAAACAATCTCACCCTACTCCTGACTTCTTTAATTCAGGAATTGAACAGTCAAAGTAGGCGAAAGTGTGTCACATCGAAACTCAGAATCTGAGGAACACAAGAACGATCTGATTGTGTCGAGTAGTCCCGATGATCCCAAATAATTCGCATGATGCCGAGTTGGATTTTTTTCTATATGAATAAAATAAATGCTGGATGGGGAGACTGTGGTAATAAAATAAGCACATCCCATCTTCCGCTGTCGCCTGTAACTATACCTCATAATAAAATTAATGTTTTTAGCGCTAAACCTGATATAAGTAATATAAAACTTCATAAGCTTTTACTTAGAGCTGTTACTATATCAAAGACTCCCTCACCATCTACTCAGTCAAATCAAAACGTATCCCTCTGCTGGTAATTGGAGACTAGCGTTGATAACGAATCTTTCTGTGGTAGAATAATCACCATTTGAGAATCCAATAATTACGAATCCATCTCAAAAGCAAGATTACACCCGAAAAATAGTGTTCTGTTTTTGATTGCTTATGAGAAGAGTTGTCTATAATCAACTGCTAAGCAAAATGAAAAAAGTTAATGTAGATGTGTACTGCACAAGCATTTGCTGAAACATTAATCATGTTTAAGCAACCGTAAAACAAGTGTTGTTTTTTTTATGCAATACAAAACAATATGTTGCCCGCATCACAAAGGAAAGGATTACGACACTAAATATGGCGTATCCTCCTTATTCTCCTGAACTTGTTCCATATGACTATCATCTTTCCAGATTATTGTGACATTTTAGGAAAAATACATTTTTACTTGTGAAGAGGTTAAATGATATTCAATGTTTCTTTGCAACGACATCTGAAGAATCTTATAAATTTTGTTAATCTTGGAATGTGCTAGAACTTTCTTTCCAACCTAACATATTTCAGGAGATACCTTGTACAGGGACGAACTTCCAACTCGTTGTAGGTGATGAATTATCCCCCCCCCGTTCAACCATTC